TATTTATGGCTAGAAATGAATTATGAGTGAGTACATCTCATGTTCATCTTTTTGGGTCTGGGATACCTCACTCAGGATAGTCTTTTCTATTTCCATCCATTTGCATGCAAAATTCGAGAAGTCATTGTTTTTTACCTCTGAGTAGTACTCTAATATGTATATATTCCACACTTTTTTCATCCATTCTTCCATTGAAGGACATCTAGGTTGTTTCCAGGTTCTGGCTATTACAAATAATGCTGCTATGAACATAGTTGAACAAATGCTTTTGTCATATGATAGGGCATCTCTTGGGTATATTCCCAAGAGTGGTATTACTGGATCTTGGGGTAGGTTGATCCCGAATTTCCTGAGAAACCACCACACTGATTTCCAAAGTGGTTGCACAAGTTTGCATTCCCACCAGCAATGGATGAGTGTGCCCCTTACTCCACAACCTCTCCAGCAAAGGCTATCACTGGTGTTTTTTATTTTAGCCATTCTGACAGGTGTAAGATGGTATCTCAAAGTTGTTTTAATTTGCATTTCCCTGATCGCCAAGGAGGTTGAACATGACCTTAAGTGTCTTTTGGCCATTTGAATTTCTTGGGTCGAGAATTCTCTGTTCAGTTCAGTGCCCCATTTTTTAATTGGGTTAATTAGCATTTTAAAGTCTAGTTTCTTGAGTTCTTTATATATTTTGGAGATCAGACCTTTGTCAGTTGTGGTGTTGGTGAAGATCTTCTCCCAGTCAGTGGGTTGCCTTTTTGTCTTAGTGACAGTGTCCTTTGCTTTACAGAAGCTTCTTAGTTTCAGGAGGTCCCATTTATTCAATGTTGTCCTTAATGTCTGTGCTGCTGGGGATATACGTAGGAAGTGATCTCCTGTGCCCATATGTTGTAGAGTACTTCCCACTTTCTCTTCTATCAGGTTCAGTGTGTTCAGCCTGATATTGAGGTCTTTACATATATCCCTTTTGATTTGCCTTGTGCCTAGGGTACATGACCAAGCTTCAGGAGAAGATACTTGGTTGCTTTCCTAGAAAGCATAAAGGATTCTTTCTCTCTCATTCATTGACATTTAGTTATAAACACCGGGTAACTGTTGTTAGTATGAAAAGAATGGAGAACATGAAACACCATTGAGTATTTACATCGGACAGCCTGCTGGCTAGTCTCATGTCAACTTGAAACAAGCTAGAGTTCTCTGAAAAAAGGGAACCTCAGTTGAGAAAATGCCTCTATAAGATCATCCCATAAAGCATTTTCTTAATTAGTGACCGATATGGGAGGGCACAGACCATTGTAGGTTGTGCCATCAATGGGCTGGTGGCCCTGGGTTCTACAAGAAAGCAGATGGAGCAAGTCATGGGAAGCAAGCTAGTAGGCAACACCCCTCTCTGGCCTCTGCATCAGCTCCTGCCTCCAGGTTTCTGCCTTGTTTGAGTTCCTGTCCTGGTTTCCTTCAATGACGGACTACAAGGTGGACGCGTAAGCTGAATAAACCCTTTCCTCCCCAACTTGCTTTTGGTCATGGTTTTTCATCACAGCAATAGAAACCCTGACTAAAACAGACAGAAGTAAGGGCTCCAACTCATTTGAAAAATATAGAGTGGCAGGATAAGCAAGTATGTATCTTCCTTAGAAGGCCCAAAGGTTACTTTCATTATCAATGAAGGTCACGTGAAAGGCTAGGCAATGGTAAGACCGTATCTTCTGGGAAGCCAGCAGGAAGGGGCTGGGGCGGTGAAGGATGGAGGTACAGCCTACAGTTTGGAAAAAACACACAAGGACTAATTCAGGGAATCTGAAAAGAGCAGCGGAAGGGTCTGCCCTTAAGTTCAACTTTGCAAGTTAAAGTGTGATGCCATGTCTTGTGGAAATGAACGTGGTTACTGATGAGAAGGCTGAATCAAGTTTGAGAGCTGGAGAGAAGGTTGTAGAATATCAAATTCAACAATTTAACTGCATGGGAGAAAGAAATTGAGACCGTGGAGGAAGTGATTCTGGGAGACTCCTGAAGAGAATGCACAACAACCTGGAGGTAAATCAGAGGCTTCCTTTCCTCACCACGAGCTAGCCTTGGTGTCACCTTCAAGTTTTTGGAGTTTTGGCTCTTTCTGTACTTTCCCATTGGCCTGCTGCGATCTAGCTCTTATTTCTTGACGTTGTTCTCTGATGATTAATTTAAACATGCAGGCCTTCCGCCTTCTCCATTTTCCCTCTGCCTTTGGACAGGATCAACAGAAAGGTAAAAAAAATGAAGTTTTGAATGCCTACAATGACCAAGGCAGGAATAATGTTAGGGACTCTGGGATACATTACACAGTGTCTGAGGTCCTAACCACAGAGCAACGAGTGGTCTAGAGGTGGCACAGGGGGTAGAGGAGTCCTCAGGGGACATGGGACTCCACAGGAGCTTGAAGGGGTTGCTAGGTGGATGGAGAAGGACGTTTATTGCGGAGAGCAGAACCTGCACAAAGAGCAGGCACCTGTGCTTAGGAGCCTGCTCTGACTTCCATTGGCTGCATACAGGTGGAGGGTTGCAAAACTGCAGCAGAAGGCCCATGCTGGTGCCGCATCATCAAGGCCTGTGCAAACCATGCTGTGGAAGCCAGCCCAGATGAAGCGGCATCAGACCGATATTGCCTCCCATCTTCCCTGGTGATTATGCCCTTCCTATTTCGCCGGTAGCCTCCCCTGTGCTCTTCCTCTCCATGGCTGCGGATTATAAGCCTCTGCAATGGAATGTTCACAGTGAGAGCAGATGGCCACTCCGCAGTGTGAAGACAGGCGCCAGGCTCCCTGGGTTCACCGTGGACTCTCTGTGTTCCCAAAAGCTCGTATTAAGAATAAGCTGCTTGGCTTCCTCCGGCTTTCGTTTCCTCATGTACCAGCTACAGAAATAACATCAGCCCCGTCAAGGCCGCTGCAGGTTAAGTGAATTGCATAGGAAGGCCTTACACTATGGATGGGCACAGACCCCAGAAAAAGGGTTATAACTTCTGAGCGGCTTTCCGGTATAGGAAGGTGGCGAATACAATGGAGCAACAGGATCAATCAGCCTGCCTGTGTTTTGTCACTATACAAGTGACAAAGGTCATGGCACCCACGAGCCTTCCTCTGACCACAGGGCCACGCCCTCTACCTCATCTGAAATCTTGGGCTACCTTTATTCTCTGCTATGGTAAACTGGTATTTAAACTGCACCGTGTTTGCAAGTGTGAGCCAACTTTTGATCTGGCCCGCGTCTGTGCGCACTGCACGTGAGGGGATGAAAGAAAGCAGAACAAGGCAGAATGAGGCTTCTGGTTTGGGTTAGGACTCCTGATGGCCTGGCCTGTGGTTCACCAAACATTCAACTTCTGACCTTGTCACTTATACTCCTGGGGAGGACCTCAGGAGCTGCAACTACCTATTGTGATTAACTTTCTATAACGTTCATGCCTACCTGAGCAATTCATCAGCATTTCAGGAGAAGCAATACAGTGATCTTCCCTAAGACACGGAACACTTTCAACATAATTAGCAGCATTTCTGGATCAACACAGCACTCTTATAATGTGTATGATGGGGGAAATGAATGACTCTAATTACACCTTATTAAATTTTATTAATCCTCATTAGAACCCTATTATTCTTTATAAGTGGGTTACAGAGAAGGGAATAAAAGCAAGCAAGCAATGCCGGTCAAGTTCCGTTATGTCTAAACGAGAACTGGGTGATTTTCCCACAATCATAGTAGATAGCACACAGGACCCAGACTGGCTGAAAAGCTCAGGACAGAGGGAGTAGACTGTGATCTTTCAAAGTCTGAACGCCAGGAGCTTCCCGTCTGATACCAGGTTCATTATAAGGAGAAAAGATTTCATTATTGCGAGGAATGCACGCCACTCTTGATCTTCTCTGCTGCTGCATTCCGACTTTTGAACGTGCAGCTGGGAAAGTGGCGCGGGGCAAAGGGGTTAAGTAGTTGAAACCCAGAAGTGTTTGAATTTGAAAACTGCAAGGGAGGCGTTGTTCAATAACCGTTAAACACAAGAATACGTACTCTGACCCTGATTTGCTTAATTCTTAGTCAAATGGGGTCATCGAAATCGAACCCGAAAAGAGCCATGTTTAAGCTTCCCTGCACCCATAGGTTCTTGGTGTACTTTGTATGTGCATGACTGGCTTAGCTACAGGAGGTCAGGGAGCACAGGGGGGATGGAAAGTGGCTTCTGAGTGGAAGGGTTCAGGATCCTGCCCAGGCAGTTGTGTGGCGCAGGTCACATTACCACATTTAGTTCATGCAACCCATTTGAGATGGTAGTAATGGGTGGGAGAGCCATTAGCGTGGGCTGGGGTAGCTGTCAGCATGGGCCAAGGTGAGGCATTTCTTTTGTGTAGGAACAGGAAAGACAGACAAAAAGAACTAATCATAGGTTGTTTTTGTTTTTTGGAAGGGACAGGGACCACATAGACTATCTTCCTAGTGCTGGGATTAAAAGCATTCAATACTGCGGCCCAGAGGGCCTCCAGTACCTCCTACTCCATGTCTTCATCTGGTACATGGGGTTCTCATCTTTGCTCACTTTTACAACTATCAAAGACAAAAAAAAAAAATCCAACCCCAACCTTTCAAAAACAGGCCTGTCTTTATTCAAACCAGTTCACCCAGTTTGTGTATTTTCTTTTCTAAGCGCTAAGAAAAGAGCAAGCCTTCTGGTATTCCGGCAGAGCAGGGTTGGGAAGCCCATCTTAAACTCCAAAGGTTCATTTCTGTTCTTAACAAAGAACAGGAAGTTGCCCTGATTGCCACTGTTACTCAAGGCTTGTCAACCGCAACCTTCCAGGAACTGGGGCTAGTCACTTCAGTGGGTGGTCGAGTCATCTGCCAGGTCTAACTCGGTTCTGAGTTCACAGCCTCGTCCTGCCTGAAGGCGGAAACCCAGCTGGGAGTAGAGAATGGGATCTGCTCCTAGATTTGCACTGTGTACGACTGGGTCATGTCGCAGCGCCTGAGAACTTCGGCGCTCTCACGTGTGAAGTGAACCGAAGTTGCTCTCCACCATCCCGTAGTTCTGAGCCCTACAGGAGTCCTGGGAGGGGCTCCAGCGAGACTCTTGGGGTGGGGAGAGTGGGGGTGAGGGGGTGTTCCGTGGCAGGATCTCTTCGCTCAAACTCAGCCTTCCAATTTGTCGCCTGCAGAGCGGACCCTAGTGTGCCGGTTTTTCGACTTCCTCCTGCATCTCCTTCCTCTTCCTCCAGTGGAGGCAGATCCCTCTTTCCCTTCCTCTTCCCATGCTCCCTGCACCCCCGTGTCCCCTCCTCCAGGAAGTGCACTGCCCAGGGTCGCCCACCTCGAGCGGGCGCTGCCCGCCGCGCCCCCTCCCAGCCCGGCTAGCGCAGCGGCCCCGCGGGCACACGCCTCCCCATACCTTACATGGACAAATGCGTGCAGGCAAAGTCAGGAATTCAGGCCCCTGACGTCAGCCTCCAGCGCTCAGGGCACCGCACGGGAGACCGCGGGGAGGGGGTGGGGAGGAAGGAGGGGGAGAGCACCAACCAGCAGCCGCTCCCGGCCTGCCGAAGTTTCACTTTTTGTCTGTGGGTTCGCTCCCGGGCCCCGCTCCGAGCGTTCCCGGGATAAGTAGCATTAGCGGCGGGAAGAACCGGCTGCTGCAAGGTAAGGGCCAGCAGCGGGGACCGAGCACGGGGAGGGCGCTGGGCCAGGCGGAGCGGGCCGCTGCGGGCCGCGGGCCGGGACAATGGGAGGGGGGAGTGCCCGGCACCTCCTCCTCCGCCCGAGCCTCCGCCTCCAGCCGTCGCGGCCACCGTTGCCCCGTCCTCCTCCTCCCTCAGGTATAGTAGCGAATACTTCCTCCCGCAGCCTCGGCCCGTGGGTGCCCGCTCGAACCCCGGATCCTCTCCCCCTCCCGGGGCGAGCCGCTGCGGTGGCGGGAGCGCGGGACCGCCCTGCTCCGCCCGGCTCGCCGCGGAAGTGCGGGCTCCCGGCCGGGAAGCGGGGTGCACGGCGTGGGGGGAGGGGCGACGCTGCGGGCGTCCTCTGCGAGCGCCCCCCGGCCCGGGCTTTTCTGGGTGCCCAGGGGGCGGGGCCGCGCCCGGCTGCTTCGAGCTTTCGTGGAATCTCAGTTGTCACAGCGGAAAGGGCCCTAGACCGGGTGACTCGAGAGTCTTCCCATTTTACAGTCAGGGCTGGCGAGGCACCGAGAGGCGGGCTTTCCTGGAAGTCATTCCTGGAAGGTGGAGCCCTGGCTAAGACCGGTGCCTTAGGACCCCGACGGTCTTTTTCTGTAAGCTGTTTTGGAGTCCCCACTGTTTTCAAGCACTGTAGGTTACTCCAGGCCAGACTTTGCCCTCAGGGAGAGCTCCCTGGAACGCAGGAGCTAAACCTGACCAAAGTAGGAAGAAGGGCCAAATGCTGGAGAACTCGAAGATCAGGCTTTTTTTTTTTTTAAGGGGGGTGTCTCGGGAAGGTGCTTCATATTTCGGTCTCCATGAAGAGACCAGAAGTGTCCTGGAGGGCTGTGTGTGTTTGTGATTGACTATTTTGAAGGAAGGCAAGGCCTTCCTTGTCAGGGAGGCAACTGCGGACCAGAGAAAGCTAAATAAGGGTGGGGATTGGACATTGCGTTGATGGCTTTGGGGTGGGAGTATGACAGGAGACCATAGCAGTGGAGTTGTGGCTTGGGTACTTGGACCGGAAGGTGGTATAAAATGTCTCTAACCTCATTTCTGTTTAGGAAGGGGTCCACTGCTTCCCCTTCCCCACAAGGAAGGCCTAGCAAGACCTCACCAGCCATCCTTTCTGACTTTCTCAATAGACTCCAACATTTTGTGTCTGGAACCCCTCTCCCCTTTGCAAGCTTGCCTCCCCAATAAAACTTTCTTTCCAAGATGTTGGTGACTTAATGGTTCACTACTCCCCGCCCAAGCAACTTTTTCGAAAACCTTTAGGGGAAGAGAAGTAAAGTGTACAAGGCTGCTGCGGAATAAGTAAACCTCTCCCTGACCGCTTTTCTTATTTTTACAAATAGGGAAACAAACCCAGATCCGCAGAAGTTGAGTGCCAGTCCTGTAGTCTTTGGTGGATAGTGGTGGACTAAGGTGTGTGTTTGGGGGAGGGTGGTGGTGGTTTACAGAAACCCAGTAAGATTCTTCCTGTCCCCAGAGTCTCCTGGTTAGGTTCTTGTCAGCACCAAGGGGCGTTTAAAGAGGAAATTATGTATCTTGTATTTAATCTCTAGACGGCAGCCTGTGGAGTCCTGTCTAGTGAGAATTTGCTGTGTGAAGGGTAGGGGGACATGCCAGGGGTCCTGAGGCTTGGACAGTATCTTGTCTTGCATCTCCTGACCCTCCTTCTTCTCCCCCATCCTCAGTTCCTCGTAAGCAGCTCTAGCCTGGAGTTGGGTTTAGGAAGTGGGAGGGGAAGCCAGTTCTTGACTTGGTCATTATTGCTGGGATTGAGTGTCCTTTCGTGGAGGGACATTCTGGCAAGAAGGTGACTTCTCTGAGAGGGTAGACATTGCCAGACAGTGATAGGTAGGAAAGGAGACACGGTTCTGGAAGGCTTTAGGAATGCCAGGCCACATGACTTTTGAGGGTTTCGAGCAGGCAGGAACATGATTTGGAGAACTGGCATTGAGAAGCCTCCTGCTGCCCAGGTTCAGTGAGAGAGGTGATAATTTGGCTTCAAGAAAATGATCATGGGTTGTTTGATTTGCCTGGCATGTGTTGCTGAACGCCTGTCATGCGCCAGCCCCACTGTCAAATATGGTTGTTATTTTTTATTGAGGCCGATTTTATTAAATGAGTTCTGAACTACACCTCTTCCCTGCTTTTCTACCACTGAAGTGTGATGGTCTTTTAAGCACAGATGCACCCTAGCTGAGCAAGGTTTTCTTCTAAAGTTAGTAATGCTGTGCATTTTACAGTTGCTGTTTTAAATTTGATAAAACTTGGTTGCTAGGTCTTTTATAAATGTATAGAACTTTTGCATTTTATTAAAAAAACGTTTCCATCAAATATTCTATGGGAATTTCTTGAGAGGTAAGCATGGTGACAGGCCTTCCCTATCTTAACCCTTTACCTGAGGTTACGGAGCTAATTAGAGGGGTTCATGAAAGTGGTAATTCCAGACTTGGGGTTCTTGGTGGGAACGTGTACCTTTGCCCCACAGTGGATCTAGCATGGGTTAGTAGATGCTGGAGCAGAGGCAGGTTAGCGTTGACTTCAGAACTAGGACTTCCATGTTGGGGTCCTGGGACCATGTAAACCAACGACTGTTTAACTTGGAAGGGCTGGGAACCAACTGCAAGGTAACTCTGTCCACCAAAGGCTAAAGAGGAGACCCAGTGTGGAAGCATGCCTCAGGCCCGTTCCCCCGTGGACCAGGGAGACGCTGAGCAGGCTGCTGAGCATATAAGTTGAGGAGGCCACCCTTCCTTCGCCAGAGGAGCACCGGGTGTGTGCGAACGCAGAGGAGCATGGAGGGTGTGGTCAGTGTTCCGGCTACACAGGCGCTGGAAATGATGAGCCGCAGGGAAGCAAACCCGTCGTTGGCTACCGTCTGAACTGAATCTCCAGCCCTAAGAAAGAGAGGCGTGAGGGGATGAAGGAAGGCCTGAGATGGAGCCGCTAGACAAAGGGTCCTCTATGCAAGGGCAGGGCACAGGGCGGTTTATTTTAGCTGTGTTTCGAAGGGTCAGCATGTTTGTGGAGGTTAGAGAACAACTTTGTGGCGTCTGTTGGGTTCCAGAAACTCAAGCACCATGTTTGTACTGCAAGAACCTTTGCCTGTGGAGCCTCTTCGGCTGCCCTTAAAAGGGAGGACTGATTTTTTTATTTTTATTTTTCCCGAAGTATAGTTTCTGTTTGTCTTGCAGCTGTGGGGGCCATTAATCAATCCTATTGAGAGTCACGATTCACAGGGTAACAAGGCTGGGCAGGGCCTCTGGAAGCTTCGCTGTGGGATCAAGTTTGTGATGTCGAGGCCGAAGGCCTAAGAACACTTTTCTTAAGTGGATAAGTGAACCTGAGACTTTGACCCAGCGCAGTAAGGAGGGCCCCAGAGCTGGATGTGTGCATTGGTGGGTGGGGACGTTTCCTGGAATATGGCTTTGGAATGCAGCGCTCTGCCCAAACTCATTGGAGGTGAGGAAGGGGGGGGGGGAAGAAATGGTTGTTGCTGTTGCCTGTGTAAAGGTAGAACCTGGGTAGAAATCTGTTTGTCTAACGGTGCATATGAAAACAGAACGTGAGGGCGAGCCAGTGAGGGGCAGTGGAAGTTTGTTGTGGAGTTTGCAGGAGCTGCCTCAAGGCTTGGGGACCAAATGTAGGTCACGGGAATGAGATTGGTCACTAGCTAGGGTTAAAGGTAGAAAGGCTTAGAAGGTAGCTATTGGGCTGAGGCTAGAGAATGTTTATCTTCCTGTCCTTTCTAGGAAGCAGTGTAATTTAAGTGTTTTGAATGCTTACTGTATGCTCATGTGATTACCACATTGATTCCCTAAGATTTGATTGCTGTGACTTGGGTGTGGTTGAAGACTCAGTGTTGAAGGCTTGTTTCCCAAGTATGTGCAGAATGGAGGGACTTTTAGAGGTGAGGCCTAGTGGATTGTTCTTTAGGTCATTCAGGGAATGTCCTTTGAAGGAAGTTTTTTGAAATCTAACTTGGTTTGGTAGTTACGGAAAAGCGAACCTGACTCCTGATTGGCTCTGGCTATTTTCCTGTTGAGTGGTGTGACCGTGGACTCCACCCCCCCCCCCCCCCCCGTTATTTATGTGCCATCCTCCAGGCCTTCACCAGAGCAGAGGTGACATTGGTGATGTGCCCTGAGCTTGTAGGAACCCTGAGTTAAGAAGGCCTCCTTTCTTCATTATGGTCCCCAGTCAGGACTAATATTGGCCTGATGTGATGACTGTCAGTCTCATTTTACAGATGAGAAGATGAGTTTGGTGAAGCGAGGTTGCACGGCTAAGTGGCATGTTTAGTTCTAAGCCCTTGTCTGGTCTGTGGCCTCTTCACTGCACACGACTGTCTGTGTTCACAATCAAGAAAACTAGAGATCCAGATGCTTGTGCACTGGGCTCTGGGTTTGCGCCTGAGGATGAACCTGGGTGAGTGGGCTTCTGGGTTCCATGCTGGTGTTACCACAGACCCTTTCAGTCTGTCAGCACATTGCCATGCCTTCTCCCAAGCTGCATTGTGTGGAAATGGAGCCAGCAAGTCAATGCCCCTTTCACTGTGTCTCCTGTTCCATGCCCTTGCAATGCATCTGGATTTTATGCACCGAGGCGAGAGGCAGTTGGGGCGGCAATAAGATAGTGATCCAATATTGGGGAGACTGGTTTTCTGTCATTTCCCTGCTTTTATGGCTCCTCCAGGGGACCCTATTCTTCCTGTGGCTCTTGCCCTCCTGTAGGCTGTGACACTTTTGAAATAGCCTTGGCCCTGGTCAGTTCTGCGTCTGCCACCTTCCTGCCTCAGGTGCACAGTTCGTGTTTGTGTTTTATGGCTCAGAGATAAAGCCCTGCCTTGATTACTGTGCCTGGAGCCTTGATAAAACACCCTGGAGAGCAACTTAAGGAAGTATTTGGCTGGGGAATCCCAGTTTGAGGGTTAGGTCCACCTTAGTGGTGAAGTCACCTGTGGTCACGGTGGATGGTGGCAGGAACTTGAGGCAGCTGGTCACATTGCTTCCACGTTCGGTAAGTCGTGAGAGGTGAATGCTTTTGGTGGGCTGGTTTTCTCCAGTTTGTTCAGTCTCGGGTCCCAGCCCTTTGAATGGTGACACCGACTTGGGTGGGGGGTTAGTCTTCCCACCTCACTTAACCTGATC